AGCTCTGCATCCTCACCTGTTCACACAGGCCCTCCCCTCCCTCCCCTCCTCTCCCTCTGCACAGACAGGCGTTTTAAACACATATATGCACTGACATTCCAGCTTCGCCTGTAGAATTAGAGCAGGATCCTAACTGAGAGCAGGTGGCACTCGGGCATTGGGAGGTCAGGGGAGGTGTGGGTGCAGATGCATTTATAGAATCAAAGGGCCAGCAGGCCGATGGCTCAGCTTTCCCCGTGGGGCAGGAGGCAAAGGCAGGAGGGAGAGTGGCTGGGGGAGCCCTGAGGCACCAGGCTGAAGGAGCATGGAGGAGCCTGAGCTTGAGCCGGGGGTGGGCACGTGGCAGCAACAGGGGACTGTGAAGGGCGGAGCTGCTCCCTGAGGCAGGCCTGAGGCACCGTGGACGTGTTCCCACGCCTGGGAAGGACAAGACTGCCATGTTCTTTTTTATTTTTATTTTTTTATTTTTATTGATTTTTTTACCGAGAGGAAGGGAGAAGGATAGAGAGCTAGAAACGTCGATGAGAGAGAAACATCGACCAGCTGCCTCCTGCACACCCCCCACCGGGGATGTGCCCGCAACCAATGCACATGCCCCTGACCGGAATCGAACCCGGGACCCCTCAGTCAGCAGACTGACACTCTATCCACTGAGCTAAACCGGTTTTGGCAAGACTGCCATGTTCTTGAAGAATTAGAAGTAAAACTTTTGAGAAAAACTTTAGAGGTGAAAACTTCATGCACGTTAGAGAAGGTTCACACATGGAGCTTTTAAAAATCCTCCTGAGGATATGTTTTTACTCACTGAGGGACAGAGGAAGGGAGGGGGGCAGACGTGCTCCAGCCCACGGGCCACCGGGAGGGTCATATGGATTCCCCGTTCCCGGCGTCACAGAGCAGAGGGCTCAGGCTTGGGTGGCCACCGAGCTTTTGGCCATAACAGAGCGACACTCAGGGTTCCCTGTGATGGTGGGGCGTCCTGGTGGGCAGGGGCGAGGCACTTGTGTGGGAGAGCAGATGTCTCCTTTCCCTGGAACCTCAGGGCCGTGGTGGCAGCAGCTGGAGGAGCTGCATCAGCCTTGGGGCTGGCCATCGACTGCCTCCTCAACGTGACATATTTTAATGCTTTTCTCAGCACAAGCTTGACTTTAACAATGAATCCAGAAAAAGGGGGCATGGGAATACATCACCATAAAAACCAACAGAGATTTCTCTGACCCCACCCCTATAGCTCTTCCACCCACCGGCCCGCAGAGCTTGACCGACAGCACTGAGCGGGGCAGTGTCCCTCGGGGCCCCCGGGCCAGGCAGCGGCCAGGCAGCGAGCCTTTAGAAGCCCCGATCTCCCCCATCTTCCCTGGCCGGAGTCAGGAAGCCGCCCTGGCTGAGGTGGGGTGACAGGAGGAAGTGAAGAGGTGGCGGCCAGGCAGGGGGGAGCAGGACAGGAGGAGGTCAGGCCGAGCCTGAGCCTGGCGCGCAGCCCCGCCCGGGCTGAAGGAGCGGGAGGGAGAGCCTGCACAGAGTCGCTGGGGTCTCGCCTACGGGAAAGGCGTCTTTAATAATTAACAAATGAGAAAAGGCACAGAGTCAGCAATGTGACCCCTGGCATTTTGAAAGTCTGAGCAAATGGCCACGCCTCCACGGCCTGCAGTCACATTGCCGGCGCCCCACCAAGGAGGGCTGGGCGGGCGAGGAGCCACGCCGACCTAAGACACATCTGACGAGACCCACAATGCCCCACTGGGCACACGGAAGGCACAAATGCATAACCGCTCCTACAGATTACTGAAATTAGCAGGTCAGAGCCGAACAGAATTCCCGTTTTTCTCTTCTCACTTTGCTATTACTTCAGTATCTAACCAACTCAGTGCTGCTTTTCTCCCTTTCCCCCTATGCCCACAGCTACGCTCTCATGTGTAAAAAGACAAAGGTGCTTGGTCCAAGGATATTCCCCCCCCCCTTCATGTCCTCTCTCAGTTCAAGATACACAGACTATTTTCTTTTCACACAAGGACAGTGCCATCGAGTTCCTTGAAGGCAGGGAGACGGCCCACGGAAGGAAGACAGGTGCACTGGCTCTGCCCCTCAGTCAGACTTTCTGAGCCTGAGCCATGCCTGCGAGAGCCGGGAGCCGGGAGCGGGAGGGGAGCGCCGGTGGGGCGGAGGGAACCAGGGGCGTGTGCCCGCGCAGGGAGAACGTGCTGCGGGGGCGGTGGGCGGGCAGGTGGGGGCTGCGCGAGGCGGGGAGAGGCTCCCACAGCACCGGACAGCGGGCAGGAGCGCAGCAAGGCCAAGCCAAGGCTCCGCCTTGTGCTCGGCCATCCTTCCAAGACCATGCAGTATCTTCAAAGACAAAACAAGACGGCATCTTGGACCACTGCGTTGCCTAGGAGACTTCTGCAGCAAGCTCTCGTTTGTGTAGCAAACCTGAACAAAGTCTGAGAACTGATGCTTACAACTCTGGTTCCTCCGTTCCCTTCGGAACCTCTCGGTTCTCCGTGTGCATGGAGGGCGGACCCTTCGCCTACGTTCAGGCTAATGAATTTCTGAACGTGAAGAAAAAGAAAAGTAAATGCCACGTAAGCCTTCTAGTGCATGGGTACCAACAGTGTATTCTTCCTCCTGGCTCCGTGCATGAGGGCAACGCTCGTGGCCAGCAGAGCTGGGCTGACCACAGCCACGGAGCTGAGCCTCCTCACTGTGCTGGCCTCCCAGGCGCAGGCTGACGGCTCACAAGCTGGACATACACGTCATCAACTGGCGCTAATCACGATGCCCGCCCCCACCCCGCCCCCCGCACGTGGTCACACAGAACCCGGGCATCAGAGGGATGCAGGCACGTGGAGAATGAAGAAACCGAGGGGAAAGGGGACAGGTCGGCAGAGTTACCCAGGCGCACGGTCACCCCAAACAAACCTCTCTGACCTCCACCAGCTTCCCCTGGGAGCACCACTTCCCTCCCATGTGCACACGCTGCCTCCGCTTCCGGTCACCCACTCCCTCTCCCCACCCGTGAACAGAGGCACGCGTGCCAAGACCACAGCGTCGTTGTGTGGTCCCGTCTCTCCCTCCCCGTCACACGCCCTCAGCAGCATCAGCACCCACTCCCACCTTCTTCGCTCTTTCCTGGCTTCTGGTGCCTGAGCTTTCTCTACACTGATCCCCTCCCCCCACTCCCTCGCCTCCCTCCCAGCCTCTTCTCTCACTTTCCTCTCTCCCTGGTGATGTCAGGTGCTCACATTTTAAAGCCTTTGTGGGCCAAAGGGTCTAATCTCTCCAGCGAGCTCCTGACCTGTGGACCCCGCCGAGCTCTCACTGTTGAAGAGTTGCTTGGGCATCAATCTGAAGCATGTGAACCTGGGATCTTTATTTTCCCTTCGGGGCCTGCCCCTCTCAGAGTCCGAGCCTGCTGTCCCTCATCACCCACCAGCCACTCAGTCCCAAGCCCGGCCATCCTGCCGGGCGGGCACTCTCTTCTCTCCGCACAGCCAATCCACCCGGACCCGACGGAGCCTGTGCACACAGGCCGCTCCCTGCGCCCACCCGCCACCAGCGGGGCGCTCCTGTGCAGACGGCAGCTGTCCACCTGCCTCCCTCACTGAGCTGCCCGCACCCACCGCACAGCAGCCAGAGCAGCATGCAACCCACAGGAGTGGGCGCTTCCCTGCTCCAGGCCCTTGGGGCTCCTGCCTCTCTCCCTGCTCTGACCTCAGCGGCACTGCCCTCCCTCCCTCTGCCCCTGCCCCTCTGCCCCTCTGCCCCAGCATGCCACTCCCTTTCCTGCCTCAGCTTTTCAGCCTCTTCCAGAGGCATACCAACCCCTCACTAGACATCCCAGGGCCCCTTCGCCCCACGTCTCAGCACCTGCAACCAGCCAAGCACGTGGCCAGGTCCCCCTAAGCGGAAGCTTCCTGCGGGCTGGGCCCTGACCCTGGGGGAGGAGGGGCGCGTGGTGGGCTCACCACCCACCAGCTCAGTGAGTGGGGACGAAGGGGCGTGGGGGGAGAGGGGACGGAGGGAGGGGAGGGCTCGGCTCTCCTGACAATGCAGCAGTCAGAGCTGAGGGCAGCCCTGGGCTGTGAGCCTGGTGCTCGCAGCCACCCGGCCACCCTGCGGCAGGAAAGCGCCAGCCGCAGGGTGGGGCTGCTCCATAGGTCCCTCACACGTGGGCTCCGCGGGGAGCCTCCGCGGACTTGGGTGTTTCCTTAAAACTGGGGAGAACACGCAGGCGTGGGGGCTGCCAGCTGAAGTGGGGCGATTCCTAGATGGCCGCCTTCCCACCTGTCTGACGAGGATTGCAAACGCTTGGCGCTCGCCCAGAGTGGGCAGGAGGAGAGCTTATGTTGCCATGGCAACCGCAGTGCTCCTGGGGCCTAGGCTGGAGGTTTCAGATAAATAACTATTCAGAGAAGTGAAGAAAACCAGCAAAGCAGAGAGGGACGAAGATGGCAAGAAGGCAAGAAGTAATCCTACAAGCCTGCGAGGCAGTCTACAAACGAATGCAGGAGAAGGCTCCTCTGGGGTGGCCTTCTGCTGGGGCCGATCCCACACAAAGGCCCTCTGACACAGACAGCTGCTACCGCTGAACGCTTAGGGCCAATAGCTTCCTACAGGGTTTCCCCTGGGCTTTAAAGGGTTCCTGCCTGCCAGGCTACCAAACCCAACCTCCTCCAAGTCCCCGCCACCACGTGAAGTGACTATTAGAACTTCAAAGGAAGATTTTGGTCCCAGAAACGGCTTATGCTAGTGTTTTCCTGAATAGAGACACCAGGAGAATGTCAGAAGGCAGGTCCAAATCCACACCCGCAGGCTTAGAGCATAACAACCACGTCCCAGGGGGCCACAGCCCTGGGAGGATGAGTAACCTGGTCCGACTTAATTAAAAAGGAAACAGCAGATTTGATACTCAGCCTGCATGTGTGGAAGGGAAGGAGGGCGGGGAGGGAGGAGGAGGGAGGGGGTGCGGGAGCAGGGGTGGGGGAGGGATCGGTGGGCTTTACCTCAGCACCTGCAGCTGCTCCGGGGAGTTTCGAAGCTCGTCCTGGAGGCGCCGCCAGCGCAGGCTTGCCCGCAGCTCCTGCTGCTCCTGGGCCTCGTGGGGGGCCAGCTGCTAAGTCAGACACACACACACACACACACACACACACACATGCACAAACACCGTCACTGCTGTCCTTGCGCAAGGTCACAGCTGCCCGGGAGGACACAGAGAGGGCCTCCTGCTGCCCCGCACCCATCGGAAACGTCAGGAGGCCCAGCCTCTCAGGTGCTGGAGGAAGGAGCCAGCTGTTCACCATCTTGCTGCCGGTTCGGGAGGCAGGCCTGGCCCAGGAGCCCATCCCACCCCAGAGAGAGCAGGCTTCCCTCGGGGCCATTTCCACTCGGATTCCATCCAGCCCTTTCCTGCTCTGTGCCTCCGCACAGGGTGGGGAAGGTCCCAGCACTGGCCTTTCTCTCCAGCCCGTTTCTGTAAGCGCTGTTCACCGTGGAGCCCGTTAATGCAGCCCAGCTGGCTCTGTTTGCCTATGACCAGGCCCAGCGCAGGCCGGGCGCACTGGGGGGAGGCCTGCACCTGCGCTGCCGTCCCATCAGTCTGTCCCCCCTGACCCTCCTTAAGGCCGGGAAGCAAAGCCTCCACTGGGAGGGACTAGGTCAGCACCTAGACCCACTTCCGGAAACAGAAGGTCTTTAATGGCTCATTCAACAGACATTTACAGAGTCACTGCTAGGTCCTGGGGATCTTACAGATGCAGCCCCTACCCCATGGAGTGTGGCGGGTGCAGGGGTAAAGGGGGTAGAGTAAGAACACCCCTGAAGGAAGAAGGGGGTGGGGGGTGTCGGTGGCTTTCCTCGGGGTGGAAGGACCTGAGCTGGTCTCCAGGGGAAGCAGGAGTCAGGCCCTGAGGAGGAATGTCAGGAAGAGGGAATGCTCATGGGGCCGGAAAGAGCCTGGTGTGCTTAGGGAATGGCAGGGATGTGGTCAGGCGAGGAGCAGGCTGCATCGGAGAGGGACACAGGTGCAGTCAGCAGAGGCCAGTGGATCTATAGCAAGCGTGTCAAACTCAGCCCACGGGCCGCATGGGGCCCACAACAAATATTTTTGCAATACAGCCAATATAACGGTATGTAAGAAACGTTTTAATAAAAATTTCATAACGTAATTGTTATAATATCCCATTATACATAATTATTCATAACGAACTACAACATTAATTGATTACTATAATCCTGTTGCATTCATTTCCTTTCTGTGCCTTCTGCACAGGGCACCATTTCTCTCCACTAATACTAGCAGTGAATATTTTAGCAGCCGATGGCCATGTCATTAGTCTTGGACTGACTTGTTTGGTGTGCACAACAGGAAATCTTTTGTTTTCAGAGAACAAGAAAAATAGGTTTATTTGCGTTAGGCTTATTAACTTGTCCAGTTATTCAGTGTCTGGTAAGTTAATGTTCAAGAAAAAATATTAATTTCTATTAAAATGTTCTATTATTTTATGTTAACGATTACCTGTTCATTTCAGTCCTTTGTATTAAGCATGTCTCTATCGAAATAAACTTATGTTTTTATGAAAATTGAAGCTTTTGTTTTTTTTCGACCCACATACACTAAACCTTATTTGGCCCGTGCTAGCTTTTGAGTTTGACATGCTTGACCTCAGACTCTGTATGTCCTATTATTATGGACGTGGCACCGGTGTGATGCCCTCTTTCTCCTCTGGCTCCACCCCGCAGGCACAGGGACTGCCCCTCCACGATGCAGCCCCCTCCCAGCCCCGCCTGGGCAACAAGCAGTGGGTACATGTCTGCTGACTGAAGGAATGACCGTGAACAGAACCTGGCTGCAGGGAGTGAAATGTGCAGGGTCACTGTAAACCCACCTGCTGTGCTTTGGCCCAGAACACATCTTCCAAGTGAGTGGCAAACCCTTCGCTCAGCCACTCCTCCGTCCAGTCTCGGGCTCCGATGGCCAGGCCAAACCAGGCGTGAGCAATTTCATGGCAGAGCCGGGTCCCGCAGAGGTGGCGCCCCCCAGTCAGGGCGCTCTGAGAGAGGAAGACGAGGTGTGGGCTGTGGAGGGGAGGGGAGAAAACAGAGTCCTGTTAGAGCCCGTCCTGGCGGTGGCTGGGCGGGTCCTCGGCCCGAGCCTGCTGCTCTCATGTGCGTGCTGCTCTCATGTGCATGCTGCTCTCATGTGCGTGCTGTTCTCATGTGTGTGCTCCGTCATGACCGAGCTCCGTGCTCTCAGGAACGCACCGCGTGGCGGTTTGCACCCTGGCAGCAGCTCAGATTGTGGTGGGGCCGTCACCGGACGCTGCTGCCTGGAGTGAGGAACCTGCAGCAGGTTCACAGGGAAGACACTACAAAACAACGGGAGCACTGACTCGAAAATGTGGACGAGAAAGGAGAGCAGGTGTGAGGACTCGGAGCCCGTCCCGTCCAGAGATGACCAAGGAGGGCCCTTCAGCCGGACCCCAGCGGCTCCCAAGCAGACTGGGGAGTCATGGAGGGTGGGGGAGCCAGGAAGCATGAACCCAAATTCCCATTTCAGATGGGCTGTTACCGAGTTAACTACCAGGTGCCATGGGCACGCAGATAAAAGTGGAGTCTCCCTGAGGCAAAGGCTGTAAATGGTATCATCTCCTGTCATAGATGTTTACTTATTCACATGGCATAAAAATTACACACACACACACACACACACTGAGAGAGAGAGAGAGAGAGAGAGAGAGAGAGAGAGAGAGAGAGAGAGAGAAGGGAGTTAACCCACCCAGGTGTGCAAACGGCCCCAGGGCTGGCACCAGCCAGGGAGATTTATCTAATCTCCTTTCCATACTTTGTTTTGAAACCCAAAATACCTTGGGAGAAGAAAGGGGAGGGAGGGCGGCTGGAGAGAGGAGGCCACAGGCATCCGTGCTCCCGCCCCCGGCATTCCCCTCTTCCCAGCTTGTTTACAGTCTATTAGTGAGGAATCTGCGCTTGAACCAACCTCTCCTCCATCAACTGAACAAAACCAGTTGTGAAACCTCCCAATTAAGCAACTGTCCACCCTGGGCTCTTCCTTCAGAAGCCACGTGTGAGCATCCTGCTGCTCCGCACAAGCCGGCGGTCAGCCCCCTCCACCCGGCGCCGGGAGAGACCGCCCACCCGCATTTCTCTTGCACAACATCCCCCACCGGCTCAGCACAACCGAAAGCGGTCTGTGCCAAAGCAGACAGCTTTCATGTGGAATAATCACAGGGCAGACACGCACATGAAACAGCGTCTGCCAGGCTCTGGCCAGGCTCCACCAGGAGCTCCAATAATAAGGTGCAGCGGGGCACCCAGGACATGGGGCCCCCATAGTGCTCTGAGCCCGGTTCAGAAAAAATAAGGAAAAAGGAAGGGAGGGAGGGAGGGAGGGAGGGGAGGAGGGAGGGAGAGAGAAAGGAAGGAAAGGAGGGAGGGACGAAGGAGGGAAGAAGGAAGGAGGGAAGGGAAAGAGGGAGGGAGGAAGGGAGGAAGGGAAGAAGGAAGGAAGGGAAGGAGGGAGGGAGGAGGGAGCGAGAGAAGGAAGGAAAAAAGAAAGGGAGGGAAGGAGGGAGGGTGGGAAAGAGAGAGGAAGGGAAGGAGGGAGGGAGGAAGGGAAAGAGGGAGGGAGGGAAGGAGGGCGGGCAGGAAGGAGGGAGGAAGGGAAGGAGGGAACCGAGGACAGGAGCTGAGAGTGCCCGCTGCACCCTGCCCGTCAGTGGGTTAGCCGCTCCGGCATATGCCGCACTGCAGCGAAAGCCACAGCCAGGCCCCAAGTAAATAACATTCCAGACATAACGCTGGCACTCTCACCCTCTGAGCTAAAACCGAACACCAGTAAGATCAGGCCTCCCACGGCTCACAGATCAGCTGCCTCGCAGGGCCTGCCGGCAGACCCGACGTGGGGTTTACAGAGGCGCTGGACTGGCCTGTGGCTCCGCAGGAGGTTACCCAAGCTGGGGCCCGTCATGACCCTGTCCTCCGTGACCGCTCACTGCTCTGCCCAGCGGGGAAGCCTCTCCGAGGCCCATGTATGCAGCAAGCACGGTGCAGGTCAGCGCACCGCCCACCGTCCTCTGAGGAGGACGCAGTGGCCTTGGCCCCTGGACAGGAAGGAGGGCGCTCCACTGGGCATGCACGGCCCTCCCACTGGCAGTGGGAAAGCACGAGAAAAGCCCCCTCCTGGCTGAGAACCAGACCCCCAAGCCTCGGCATTGGAGTTTGCCCTCAGGCGGGGCTTTCCCTGTGGGGGTTCTAGGGTTTTGGATTCTTATGAAGAAAATGGCTTCTTGCTTAAAACTAAATTAAAATATGGAGCGAGGTTTTGATAACCCTTCTCAAGGGTTGTTAACAACATCCTATATAATAAAAGGCTAATATGCAAATCTACCAAGTGGCAGAACAACCGGTCGCTACGATGTGCACTGACCACCAGGGGGCAGACGCTCAATGCAGGAGCTGCCCCCTGGTGGTCAGTGTGCTCCCACAGGGGGAGCGCCGCTCAGCCAGAAGCCTGGCTCATTCCTGGGCCGCCTCCACAGCAGGCGGACATCCCCCACGGGGTCCCGGACCCCCTCAGCGCCCCCAGTGTATAAACATCATACACTAGGCCTCTAGTTCTGACATAAAAGGGCCAATAGAATATTCTTGGAAGGAGAATTCCCTCCTCTCCTTTTAACCCCAATTATCAAAACTTCTCAGGTTAAGTGGAATTTTTAAATTGCTTTTTTTTTTTTTTTTCCAACAGCGAGTAAAGAAAAGTATAAGTTCACCTCACGGAGTGAAATAAGTATTCCTTTACCCAGAGAGAACCTACTGCGTGCCTCCCTTCCCAGCAGAAGGCGTGGCTTGGAATTTCCTGCGCCTGCCTTCGCCCCGCTTTGTAAGTCCAGCCCTGGCTCCTCACACGCCGCCTCTCAGCATCTCTCTCTTCCTGGCCCTGATCAGCCACAGCTCGTCCGTCTTCAGGCTGACAGGGCCCGGTTGAAAACGGTTGCCCTTTTTTTCTTTTTCTTTTTCCTTTTCCCCTTGAAAGGGCCTGTGTCAACTGCCTCTACAAATGCCAAATCGCCGATTCATCATCATTACCGAGGGTGGAAGGTAATCACTAGAATGACTCTTTTTTTTTTTTTTTTTTTTAATCATCACAGAATTTATCGTTTTCCCCAAATAAGAGACGGTCAGGAAAGTGTTTTCAGCTCTCACGGAGCGCCAGCCTCGCCGTGTTCCCGTCACCAGGTCCCTGTGGCTACAGGTGGCGGCGGGGCCCGGCGGGCGGGCGGGGCGGCGGCGGGCGGCACGGGTCCTCCTTCTGTCCCGGGGCCACGTGGGAGCCCTGTCCCTCCGAGATTAAAAATATCATTTTCGGTTTCTTAAGACTGTTCTTAAAAGCTGCCTCCCCACCCAGACTGGAAGGCTGTGTCGGTTCATTTAGAAGATGCTTCACTGCCGCCGAAACCAGTTTGGCTCAGCGGTAGAGCGTCGGTCTGTGGACTGAAAGGTCCCAGGTTCGATTCCGGTCAAGGGCACATCCCCAGTAGGGGGTGTACAAGAGGCAGCTGATCGATGACTCTCTCTCATCGATGTTTCTATCTCTCTATCTCTCTCCCTTCCTCTCTGTACAAAATCAACAAAATATATTAAAAAAAAAAAAAAAAAGATGCTTCATGGCCGGGCACTGCGCAGCCCTCGGGGAGGGCGTCCGTCTGAGGAAAACGCAGAGCTGCATGGGGCTCTGAGCGGGGCTGGCTGTGACTCAGGCTGCCGAGTCCAGGGGGACGGGATGGCATGGGCTTCTTGCTGCTCAGCACTCAGGCTGCGGTGGGACCAGGAGGGCCGGACAAGAAGAGCCCTGGGCCACCCCTCCGTCACACAGCAGCCCCCAGCCCCCTCAGGAGAGCAGAGCCCTGCGAGGTGCGGCCAGGACACAGGCTCAGATTCACCACGCTTGAACTTCTGGTGGGTTCAGAGTTCTTCTCGGTTTCAATGACACACGAAGCCCATTTCCCACTATAGAGAGGAAGGAAAAGCAAAAAACGTGGAAACGGAGGCTCTTTCGCTCCAGAGTCACACTGGAGAGTTCTCAGGGTCTCACTTTTAAGCACCTGAAAGCAGCTTCTGCAGGCACAACTCGATCCCCGCCAATTCACTCTGGACTCCTGGAGAGCAGACTCCCAGCGGCCGGGAGCAATCGGAAAGGGGGGGGCAAATGTCCTTCCCCTCCCTTCTCCCTTCGTTCAGAACGGGCTTTCTCTTTTCTTCACAGGGTGTGGCGGGAAATCGCCAGCTCAGATACCGGTGCGCCCCGGCATCTCCGCAGCGAAGCCCCTTCCACTCCCTCTCCGGGCAGCCCAATGGTGGGCGAGCGCCCCTTGTCCAGGGCAGAGGCCTGGCGTGGGTGACCTGGCAGGCCTGCGCCCCCTGCCTGCTGACTGCTCCGTAGGACTAGTCACCTTCGTGTGCCCCCGGCACCTGCGGTGGCCGCACAGTTGGCCTTTACCCTGCACCCTCAGGAGATGAAGGATGTTCCTTTGGGAGACCAGTTCTAAAAACTCCCTACATCGGATCAACATGGGGACCTGGGTTTGAGAGAACACGGTAACACCTGTTTCCTCTTTGAAAATCCCGAAGAGCAAGTATCGCGGTGTCTCCCCATGGAGGGGCCGGTGTGGCTGCAGCAGGAGTGGCTGGGAGGCCCCGGCTGCTCTCACTGGCGCCAGCCCCCCGGTCCCCCCCCGAAGATTCACCTGGTCTGAGGGACTGAGCCCGGCACTGTGTCTTACCTACCACCCACCACCTCACTAACCGCCAGGCCCTCGGAGATAGGCATCATCTCCACTTTCCAGATGGTGAGGAGCGAGGCACAGCGAGGCAGCAGCCAGCTCCGGACCACACAGCTGGCAGCTCCCGGAGCCAGCAGCTTAGCTCACGCAATCCTGACCCTGAAGCTTATTCGGACCCGCTCTGCAGGGCTCACTGGGTTTAGACCTGAGGCTGAGGGGCTCCACCCCTCCATGCCAGCTGCTGCCCCATGGTTGGGGGGGGGGCATTGCTCCCCAGGA